CATGAAAGACTACAGAGGATTCAGGTCTGCCCTTCTAAACTATCCAGCCCAACTCTTCAGTATCCCAGCCCTTGAAGATAAAATCTGACAAATGTCTTAAAAGGGAGACTAGCTCTACACTTGAAGTAGGTCCCATATCTCTGGCTGGTCTTTGCTTCCTAAGCAGTAAATGATAGATCAGTCTCCAGCAACTCACACAGCCCTAGAATTCAGCAAATATGCCATTAGTCAAACCAGTCTTGCAGTTGAGGTCCCTCAAGTATCTAATTTATCACTTCAGATTCACACAACTGCTTTGTTAATTTTTCTTTCACCCAGAAGTTGCCAAGTCTTTTACTGCAACACCCAGAATTAGTTAATGCCTTCATTAAATAGAAATGGCTAGCAATCATCAGCTTCACCTTGCTTTTCTGGAATTGTAATTCGTCTAGTCCTCCTTTCTCCCACAGTTTTCTAATGCCTTTAAAATACAATTTTGTAATTTCCAGCTTTTTCTAGTTTTTCCAGTGGGAGGTTAGCCATTCCCCACCTACCGCATTTATTTAGAAGTTGAACTCTCAGTAAATATAAAAGTGATTCTTGTCCTCATTTGAAATCCTATCACTTACAGTTTCTGGTTCATTAATCATATTCTTATATTGTTTTATTGCTTAATGTGTGCCAGTTTTATTTCCTTGGAAATTACAAATGTTGAGGGAAGAAATGTTGTTTTATTTCTTGTATAGACCTATTATAATACTGAACATATCATAATTAAAAGCTAATTTGAAACATCTGATAGTTGAAAAAGCTAGTCTATGGGACATGATAAATATTCATCACAATCGCAATTCTTCTAACCTTATCCTTGTAAATCCTTGTCTAATCCACATATCGTTATCTATTCATATGTGTACTATTTCTCTCTCTGACCCCCTACAAATTGTCTTTATAAAACTCTGTTCAAGTGCTGATAGAGTAAGCACATATGAAACAAATCTACAGCTTTTGTAAATCTGCTTACAAAAAAAGTGGCTCTTTGCATTGTTTCTTATCCCTTAAGTGTGAAATTCATCTGAGAATATAGGGCAATGAAGGTTTATTTCTCATGATAAACTCGCATGCTTCCTTCAATTAAGCAATGAGAATTCTCTAATCCATGTAGTTTCTTCTTTGCCCTGACTGCTTGGAAAATAAGATCTCTGTTTTGTTAGTGATTAGAGTTATCCTTCTCAGTCAGTGTACACATCACACACACACAAATCTCTTTTGTAAAGAGACGAAAGGTAAAGAATAAGAAATAAAAAGGAATCACACACACACAAATGTATGTGTATGCTTGTATAGTGTGAGAGTGCACTTGTATAGTGTGTGTATAGGTGTGATTCCTTTTTATTTCTTACTCTTTACCTTTCGTCTCTTTATTTACTGTGCGCTAACTGTGCTGGCATTTTTGTACTTACATAGTTATTGTAAGCCACATCAAATTTTGAAAATGGGTGAAAGAGCCTATGACTTTATATAAAGCCAATGTGATGAACTAGGGCACCAGAGACACATCAACTTTGACAAGAGTTAGGCTTTTTATGGCCAAGAGGACCAGATTAGCATCATTCACTTAATATTTGCCAAATATTGAATCATTAAGACAAGGAAAGACTAACCACACAACCTCCTATTATTCTTTTTATCAATCATTTTTCTTGACGTAATTTTTCATTTATAAAAATATTTAAATATCTTTCCATGATACAAGCTCAGGATTTGTGTGTTTAAAATTTTTATGAAAAGTGTAAAATTTACAAAACTTCGTAAAGTTTTCAACATACACTTTGGGAATCTTAAGTATCTGAAAAATTGTGACCTTTTAAAGTTTTTACTATAACAATAGGAGATAAATCTCCACCAGAGGTTTTTATAAGCAAGAGTCTAAGATATAAATGACATAATAGACTATAATACCAAAACTTATAGATCTGAGGAATCAGCAAATTAGGGAGAAATTGATAATGCTTTAATGAGGACAATCTAAAATTTTCTCTGTGATATCTGTAGTTGGCACTTGTACCCAAATGTTATACCATTGGCAATTTTACTTTGTTTTCCAGATGTCAAATAAGCTCTGCCCATAAGAAAGCAGATTGTTAATTCCACTCATGCATGTTAACCCAGTAGAAGACAATGTTGCTTGAAGGAACGTTTCCAAATAAATAGAACAATTTGTGTAATTATTTGGGGCCTACGAGTATCGATTGTAGTCTTGAATCAAACAAGTCCATGCAATCACAATTTGTAAACTTGACTCCAGTCAATTGTTGGTTTGGAATATAAGGGAAAATGAATGCTTACTGAGGGCCAATGTGGGGTCAAGTTGAATAAAGTCAGTCTTCTGTGTAATTATCTATGTTCTATGATTTCTCTTTCAACCAGGACCACATGAATTTATTCAAAAAGTTATCACAAAGGTGATTTTTGTAAACAAAAGACTTTATTTCAAATATATTTTACAGTTTGTGTGTATTTAGGATTGCTTTCCAGACTCTGAAACTTAACACTAAATTCAACAGGCCATATACAAAATGGTGGTGTTCACTTAGGCCTACTGAATTCCTACAATTGCTGTGGGAATTTTCTTTTTCCTTTTTAAATTGAATTAATAGAGACATCAATGATAAAACAACTTTCATCCTCTTGGTTATATTTTGAATAGCAACAATGTACCATTCCATTTCATATTCACGTGCATGTTTAGAAAACGGTAGTAGTGGGGGGAGTAAAATCTTATGTATCTGGACCTAATTAAAAGATGATGATATATTGTGATCACAGCTGAAGTGGTTCATTCTTGGTGGTAAAATAGTTTGCTAAGCAAATTGGAAGAACAAACAAAATTGTAAGACAGATGTTTAGCCTGTTTAAGAAAACATAACTATTTTTAAGAACTTTTAGCAATACTATTGCATACACTTTACATACAAATTACAATGCTTGCTTATAAAACAGGTCTTTGCAGCTAGCTATTAGGTTGCTTTAGAAACTCAAGAAAAATAAATCGGAATTTTTTCATAAATATTGTTTAACTCAGACATTGAACTGATCATGCTTACCTGCACCTCCATTGCCATCACTGAGGTTTCAATGATGATGGCGAGTTTAAAGAGGGATGACTTCTGAACTTTAAAATTTGGTAAGAATGACAGTATCCTGATTTTTTTAAAAACATATATGTGAACTTCCTTAAACGCCAACAACTTAAATTGGCAAAATTGAGGTAAATGAAAAAAAGAGAATGGGTTTCTTTTCACTATTGCCAGTATTTTTTTGGTTCTTCAAGGCATTGGCAGTAAGAAAACAATCTATTATTGCACGCTAGTCCTAAGTATTCCCTAAGAAACTAAAAAACATAAAGGCCAAAAAAGAATCTTTTTAAATTGGACTATTGCAGGACAAAACAAAGTGAATTTAATTTGCTAGGAGACAAAGAGCAGTGTTTGGGACTTGGCCCCTTGGATGAGCCAAGTTTCATAACCAGATAAGATTTTCCCCATCCACATACACGTGGCAGATCCTGATGATGCTGTTTCCTGAAAAAATAGGATGATAGGTGGTCTATTAATAAACACTACTTGGAATGTTTATTTCTTACTTTCTACAATAGGTATTTTCCTTTCAAAATAACCTTGATTTGTTTTGCACATATTAAGTGGGTGTAGTTTTGTGTGTTTCAGTTATATTTTCTGTGTTCCACTTGCCTGGAGTCTGTGAAGCCTACTGCTTTGCCATGATGAACAACGTGAGAAGCACAAACAAGGACCACATGTGACAGGGTACTGGGGCATCAAATGCTCTTGAAAACAATCTATGAAGAGACAGCTTGAGAGCTCTTTCCACTCTCAAACTCTTGCCTACGCACTGACCCTCAGATTCAAGGTTTTCACAGATGCCTAAGGTTAAACTATGGTGGGCAATAGGATCTGCAGAATTTGACACGGGTAGAAGGTAGATAGAAGAGGAAAATAGCCCCATCTCCTGGTTGTTCTGAAACATCAGCGCGTGCAGAATAATTATTTGGAAATGCTAAATAGCAACAGCTTTATCTTTATCCCTAGAGATTCTGATTCACTACATCTGGAGTTGGGCCCAGGAATGTACATTTCTAACAGTTAATTCTGAAGCAGGTGTTCCATGGAGCAGACTTTGTAAATTACTTCTGTTAAGGGATACAATGGGCAAAGTGTTAGCAGAGTATGTCCTCTTTATATACTTACTTTATATTCATTTGAACCAGATGTTATCTGACCCCAGTGTCTTGATACTTACTGAAAAACCAACCAACCAACCAAACAAAAACCCTTACAGGAAACTATTACACATAGAACTATCAAGATAGAAAAACACACTATGGTGAAATACTTGTCTCTACAAGCAAAAATGGCCATTGGAAAGAAAGGAGACTTCTTGTTTTTAATATTTGCTTAAAAAGTTGAAGGAAGAATCCAGAGGGTAATGTCAGAGTTTAAACAATTTAGAAATATGCAGGATTCCAAATTAGATACCAGCAAGGTGAAAATTATTTTAGTTATTAGTAATTGCATAATCTGAAATTTAGAATATTTTTCTATACAAACAGTAGTCTGAAATACAATTCTAAAGTGCAGAAACCCCATCCCATTGACAGAGTCAAGCTTGGGAAAACAACATGAAGGGTGCTTCAATTTGGGCTGTAGGATTTTTAAGTGTATTAGACTCAATTTCACATAAGAGGGACATCTTTTGACATTACAGTGAAGTTAGATCCCTGTCTGATGGGATGATTATAAAAAGGCCTGGATGTCGTTCTTGCAATGTCCATCTCTAAGAATTAAACCATTAGTTCTCATTTAAAGTCAACTTTAGTTGACTTTAGGAAGTGGGGTTATTATACTGAAAACAAAATTAAAGTATTTTCCATACTTTTACTCTTTTCATAATAAACTAATGATTACACCTTTAAAACAAGAATTGTGAAAAGAAACACAGTATAATAGGTAAAGAACACATTTGCTGTTTTTATTGGTGCCTTGCATGGCAGTAATACTGAAAAAAGAGAATGCAAAAACAAAAAACAAAAAACAAAAAAAACAGGTTGGTGGCAACCCACATCCTTTTTTTTAAGAGTACATAAACTCCTGTTTTATTTTTATTGTGGCATGAATGATAACATAAAACCAAAAACATGAAAATATACAACTTATATTACACTATGTGTTATGAACAAAATATAAATCTATAACTCTATGTTATATTTACATAATTATTTATTTTATTAAATTTCAAGTGAGATGGTAGGTTGCACATACTTTGTTTTAAGCTCCAGGCATTTGATTGTCTCTTTTCTATTTTTTCCCATTTTTACTCATAAAATCCAAAATGTTAGAAGGACTAAGAGCTTTAGAGCCAGCGGAGCCATATAAATACTGTTTTAGTGAACCAGTGACAGAAACACTGGGGAGGACAGGAATCGATCAGTAGAAAACTCAACACAACATTATCTTCAACCTGGAAAACTGATAGTTATAGGAAACTTTAAAATTAAATACTGTAAAAGCCTGTCTAAAGGAAAACCTATGCCCTACAAGACAAAGAAATATCTGAACCACTTTAAGTGGGCTTCATATTTTTCCTTGCAGATCCCATAATATTTATTTTACTATTAACTTGATAAACAAATATTTTATAAACCTGTTTGTAAATATACAGTTGTTTACTACAATTCAATAATTTACTCATTAGAATGAATGAAAATGTAATTATTTTTGATGTTTTCCATGTGATATAAGAGGTTTCTTCTGGGAAAAGTAACAACTTCTGGATTAAGAAAATATCTGAAATTGGATCATAAAATAGTTAAAGATAATTTTCTTTAAGTGAATTAAGGTAAAAGTCTACTCCAGAAATCAAATCTATGAAATAATTTCATCAAAGAAAACTCTTTTATATTTGTTCCTTATAAGAGGATTTGGTTTCAAGAATGATTATGTTCTTTGGAGGGATTTTATACATGGTTAACTTTTAACTGCAGACGCCAAATAAATGGTAAAAATTGACTTAACTAATTTAGGTATAAATGTACTGAAGAATAGTTTTGTGTTTTAGCCAAGTGTAGTAACTAGCCAAATTATTAGTAACTTATAAATGAGCAACTTTAACCTATTTTCTCCAGTGGTGTTCTCTTAGATTCGTATTAAAACATGACTATTTTTAGAGGAACTTATTACAACAGCCATAAAAATACAGAATTCTGGCAAGATTATTCCTCAGTACTGGGGTGAGCGTGTGCGTGTGCGTGTGTGTGTGTGTGAGACAGAGAGAGAGAGAGATGTGAACACGTACATAGGAAAGGAGAGAGGAGGGAAACTTCACGTTTGTTTTAGTTTGATCTTACTCTCATTTCCTTTACCTTATCTTTTTTGGTCATCATGGGGCACAGAAAAAGAATACAAGGTTTTAGGATCCTCTGCAAAAATTATGAACCAATCAAATGCCAAAAAGGCAATGTGTTAACACAGTAAGTTGCTATTCGTAGCACCTTTTATCAAATGACTTCAAAGCACTTTAAACATTAATATAATTTTCTTTTGGGGAAAACTAAGGAAAAAAAATTGTGACACGCAGTGAATTAGATGTCAGAACCGAGAGCATAATGCAGGGCTATGAACTTGCTTTGTGCGTCAGTCCACACACAGTTCAGTCTCTCTGACATAAACCTAATTAAATAAAATTAACTTCAGAATTTCAGCAGCTAAAGGTCACCATTAACAATTTTGTTTTCCCCTTCAAATAAAACAAAATAAAGAATAAACAAAAAAAGACCAAAACAGACGTATTTTGTCAATTCACTGGTAAGTGTGTTAGAACTGGTTTCAGCCGTGAATGCCCTCTGTGGCATCTACCTGGAGCTAAAACAAAGTATTCTTGTAGCCCAAAGTCATGAAATGAAAACAAAGCATCTTTATAACACGGTGTAAGATAAGTATCCAGCAAACGTGAGAGGTGAACCCACATAAGTCAGGAAGAATTTGTTAACAAAGACAGAGAACAAATTTTTTAAATTCTGTTTTCACATTGTACATAATAACGATATAAAAACAAGTGTCTATTTTTTTCTTATCCAGAGTGCTTAAAAACAAAACAAAACAAACAAAAACAAAAAAATTGGCTCTAGATGACTGTGGCAATTAAATAACTAAAATGAGTGATGAGAGCATAAGTTAATTAAGATTGAACACGACCCTCCTATTAATTCACTCCTTTGTGTTAAACACTGGAACTTGACATTGTTGGGGCCAAATTTTTAAAAAGGAGAAAACTTATGGAAGGAGAAGTAAAATTGTGTGGGTGAATGTGTGTGTGTGTGTGTGTGTGTGTGTGAGAATATATATACATATATATGTATATATATATATATGTTGGAGATGGAAATTTGTTTTAAATATCTAACAGCTTATTGGCTGCACTTCCAAATCAGAGCAGAATAAAATAGAAAGGGAGAAATAAATTATACATAACTTACTAATCTGGGAACAGCTGACCATTATTATTATTATTACTATTATTATTATTATTTTATCATCATCATCATCATTATTACAACACTAGCAAAAAGAGGCAGTTCAAATGAAAATACAGTCATCAAAAACAAACAGGAAAACAAACAAAACAAAATCTCTGACATGCAGGATATGATCAGCTCCTCCAAGCAAAACCCCAGAGCAAGTCTTTTGAGAGAGAGAAAAATAAAAAGGACTTTTTTCTTACTTAAATGTAAAAATCAAACTTTAGGGTTGCGATTAGGGAGTGGGATAGGAAAGTGATGACTGGAGTGAAACCATGGCACATCCAAGCTACTGGTTGGAGTATTTACTGTCTGATGCTTCAGCACAAATAATGGCAACTGACTTTAAATGATTCTGTATTTATTTGTATACGCCCTACAAGTGCCTTGGCATTTGGCTGGCAAAATCTAAATAAGCAGTCCCGTTACCACTCATTGTTGCTCTATGCACATACTGTGCTGGAACCAAAAATTGGACTTCAGTGGGTTCATCTTACAGCAAAGTAAGAGTAATGGCAAGATTGCTGGGTTCAGCCAGGCTGCATTTTGCAGGGCTGCAACAACATTTAATCAAATCCTGCTTTTTATGGCATGAGATGCACATGGCCCACAATTCTGAAATGCAAATGGCCTCCACCTTATTTCATGGAGAGATGAAAAAGACCATATAAAATCATCAGTTCCATTTCCTGATCAGGAAAGAACGGAATGTTGAAGAAATAAGCTAATTCTATATTTCTGGAAAATGGCCAAATACATTCAAGGAAAACAAACAGAAATCATTAAGTAGCAAACGTTAGTGGAACGAACTGACCAGGGAGAAGGGACATCTGGGAGCAGTTTGCTAGTAGCTTCCATTTTATACATGCACACCTTTATTACACAGGGCCACCTGACTCATCCAATAATAATCATATTAGAAATTTAAAAATATAATTTCTGAGCCCTATATTAGTTAAGTTGTCATTTGAAGTGCAAAGTCAAGGTCAAGTTTGCTTCCAGACCAGTCACTTAGGAGGATGTGGGATTTCATCCCCAGATGTGGGTTTAACTCACAATGGTCCAACATTATTCCTATTAGTACCATAATCACACACATACATACACACAAAAATCCGAGATCAGAAAATATTTTTTCTCTAAATTTCTTATGTCTCTCTCTCTTTTCACCTGAGAACAGCACCTACAGTTTCCATTAAAAAAAAAGTCAAATCTCACCAGCTGCTGGTATTTCAGGTTTTTCAAGGGATTGTCTAAGATATAACACTGTTCTAACTTAAGAAGGAACAGGAAAAAGGAAAGGGAAAAAATGAACAGGGTCAACACTTCAGTACAAATTTGGCACTTGCTCAAAGATGTAGTGTGGTGTGCAATAGACAAAGAAAGTCCTCTGAAGAAAATAATTGCTTATTTTGTGGTGGATAGCAAGGAAGTTAAAAACAGGCTCTTTTTCCCTCTTCCCCCCCATGCACAGACTTCCATCTTTAAAGTATAGAGATGGAAAAGGTGGAGAGAAGTAAAGAGAAATTCATCTTTCTTTTTCTGTCAGGTGCATTACAAAAAAAAAAAAAAAGGAAAGGAAAGAAAAAGAAAAGGAAAAAACCCAGAAACCCCAAAAAACAAAACTTATTTCTTTTTAAAAATTGTAGCACAAAACAACAAAACACATTCACAAGCCACTTGTTGGCACTGTGTACCTGAGTGAGAATTTCTAGAACATTGTAGAACAAACAGCCATAAAGTTTATTAAAAAAAAAAAAGTTGACGGGTAAGACTTCAGTGCTTGGATGTAGCAGCTGAATTACTGGCATTATGTTACCCATAGCTTATTTCAATCTCTTGTTGTTGATATTGTTGTTTGCTTGTTGTATTTTTGTTTTTCCTTTCCAAGCCTTTTGAGGCTGAGGTCTATTAGTCAGCTGATGTCCCAACTAGTTAAGACTAACAGTTAAAGTAACAGTCAGTGTATGAGAAAGTTAATGTGCTTGGCCACTGGTAAGGATGAACCAGCTAGGGCTTCTTTAAGTCCTAAGGTCACAACAACCTTTTGACCCTTATCAGTTGGCTTGTCCTGCAATATGGTTTTCACTGTCACTCCCATAATCTACATCTGGATCATCCTCTTCCTCATCGTACTCATCATAAATTTCTCCGTTGATGTCCTCAGGCTGTATCTCTTCTTTGATATGTGGCTCCTCTCCTTTCACACCGTAAGTGCTCTGGATAACAGGCATCCCGGGCTCTGGGCTGCTCGACACGCTCGAGTGCTCCGAGGGCAGGTGAGGGGAGGGCATTCCGGCCATGGCAATGGCTCCAGGGTACACAACACCAGCAGTGGCGATAGGGATCTGTGCTTGTTGCCTATCAGAGAGAATTCCCAAAAAACACTGTGGGTGGGTGAACAGTCAGATGCAAGCCTTACTAGACAATTAATTTGCTCAGCTCGTCCAACTCTAAGGGAGAGATTTTCACCCTAATGCCCAGCATTTTAAAAATTGTTTTCTACTTTGATTCAATACCTTACTTCTGTAGCGTGCTTTATAGATGATAAGACATTTACGTGTGTCACTCCTTTGATTCTGAAAATGATTCTGTTTTCTTACTATTCTATTTTATGAAAAGACTGAGGTGCAGAAAGATTAAGCAGAAGAACCCAAGTCCTTGACCCCAAGTTCATTTTCCCTTCACTATAACATGCAGAAACAGTTTTTTAAAAAAATTAAACCTAAAGACAATTCAATTTTAATGGAAAAATTCTAGAGCATTACAGCTCTCAAAATGAAATATTACTGCCAAGAACTCACCAGAACTGAACAATATCACATTGTCCACTTGGTCCCTGAAATAGTTTTAGGTCAGGGTAGGACGCAGGGCCTGCCTCATGGGTGGACAACCTCTGCAGTTGCACCGGCCCTGGGGCTTAGAAAGATCCTATACTTGGTTTTAAGTTCTGTTGTGACAGCCTTGAAATTCTTAAGAACTTTTCAGCAGGGACCCCACATTTTCACTTTGCACTGGGCTCCACAAATTACGTAGCTGGTCCTAGTGGGAAGGGATTAACAGATGATGTTCATTCACGCCTTCTTTCATTCACTCAAATGCTTACTATTCCCCAAGAAGTGTTGGGTTTCATGCTCAGCTTTGAGAGGAGTCAGGCACTGGGATATAAATCACAGACCCTTGGACAGAGCAGGCAGACTCCTTCACGGGACTGGAGGGGACAGGGCAGATGTGCAAAGGTTTATTCTAAGGCATCCTCTGGCCATTTTCAGAATAGTATTTATTATTCTAAGAAGCTCTCGGGATCTTACTTACTTCTGTTCCACATACGAGCAACTTTGTTTCTACGTTTTTTGAGAAAATTCTACAGAAGCGATGTGGCTGCAGGCAGCATATTATGACACTGTCAACAGCCTCGCCACAGGAAGCAGGGTGAAACATCCTGAGAGCTGCATTCTTCATTCCGAAGGGAACTTTCCCCTTCACACCTCACGGTGCCCTAAATAGAATCCTTACTTTGTGATCCACAAAGGCCACACCTGTGCCCTGACAGCCCAGAAGTCTTTCTATATTCAGAAACAAGTGTTTCTTTCCTTTGAAATCATTTCTATGTTGTATCATCTCAACTAAGTTTTTGGTTGTTGTGGAATTTATCTCTGTGAAGCCTTGGAAGTAATGAAAACCAAGTGGGAAAAGAACCAGTAATGCTTCTGTTGTTTTGTTTTTTTCTTTCGGTTTTTTTTGAGGAAGATTAGCCCCGAGGTAACATCCACCACCATCTTCCTCCTTTTGGTGAGGAAGATTGGCCCTGAGCTAACATCTGTGCCCATCTTCCTCTATTTTATATGTGGAATGCTGCCACGGCATGGCTTGATAAGCTGTGCCCAGGTCCGCGCCTGGGATCTGAACCGGCGAAGCCCTGGCTGTCAAAACAGAACGAGTGAACTTAACTGCTATGCCACCGGGCCAGCCCCTATGCTTCTACGTTTTTAATAGTGAACTTCAAAATTATTTACTTTTAGATACTTTATTTTCGCACCAGCTGTTAACAAAGCTCATGTTGGAGCCATCCTTCTAGGAGCTGGGAGTGAATTCACATGGAAGTACTCTTTTCCAGGATCATGTAGGGGACAGTTTAGTCTCTGAAAATACACTGTGTTCAGGTTCTTTTTCAAAATGCTGCTTTGCAACTGAACAAATATGTTTCACATCCCATTAAGTATAACAGGAAGTTTTCCTTTTGAAAAAATGACCAAAAGGGCCGTACCCAACGTTGAAGTACTGCCGCATTTCCTGCCGCCGGTTCCGCATGATTGCCTTGTATTCCCCGATGCGCAGCTTTTTGCCGTCCACGAGGCAGGTGCGCTTCGGCCTGGGCTTGTATTTGTAGTCAGGGTACTTCTCCAGGTGCTGCTTGCTGAGCCGGGCTTGTTCCTCATAATATGGCTGTTTCTCTAGGTTTGTCATAGCTTTCCAGCGAGATCCTATGAGGAAAAGAAGGTTAGGATTCTAATTTGCACAGCTGCGAAGGATCCTAAAAAGATATAACTGAGAACAAGTAAGTCTAAAGTAAAAATGTTGGTCAAAACTCATAAACACATAAAAATGCTTTTGATTGGTGAGCTGTGACTCAAGAGGTGAGAGCCCACAAGAACAGAGGCGTTGATGGCTGTGTCCTCAAAGGAACTGTGTACCCAAAGATACAAACACTGAGTAATATATATATGCTTTTTGGCTTGAATTAACAATTTGTATATTATGTACTTAAAAGCTCATAGAGAATTTAATTTCTACATTAGATCATAATCTAATTCAACTGTGAACAAAATATTATGCAAAAACTCTACATATTTTGAATCTGAGGCTAATTAGCTATTGGGTATTTTTATGTGGGGTACATTACTGACTACAAAGTTTTCTAACATATATTACATGTAATTCTCATTCTCCCCTAAATGTTTAAGTATGCTTACATGAATGATTGCAATTAAAAATTCATTTCATAAAATTTTAATTATAAAATATTATATTAATGAACATGCACTGGGTAACTACTGTGTGCTAGATACTATGCTAAAAATTTTACATAAGTTGTCTCATTTTTACCTTTCACCACAATCCTGTAAGACAGAGGAGATCGATGAGAAAATTGAAGTTCAAAGAGATGAAGTAACTTACCCAAGGTCACACAACTACTAAATTGCAGATCTGTGACTCAGACTCAGGTTTGATGGAACTGAAAGTGTGGTACACGGTATGTATTTACACACCTATTCCCATCTACTTAATATGATCTAGCAGAGGTCACAATTACAATAATAAGTATGTACTGAGATTTTTCTCTTAATAAATCACTTTCAATAATATATAAAGATGTCTTCTCCTGTGATATAGTATGCAATAATAATGTTAATCCAACTTGGTTTTCCCCTTCTTTTCACTTTTAATTTTGGTTTGGATTCAACCAGGATTGTGAAAAAAAACTGTTTGAAATGTAATTAAAAATAGTTTATGCTAACTCTCAATACAGACGTGATTTAAAGTTTTGATTCTATCAGTACGGCTATGTGTAGTAGTAACAAAGGCAATAGTAACAATGTTTATTTTTTATTAACAATGTGAGAAAAATCCATCTATTTGCAGATGAAATGTGTTTATCCGCAAGGAATCAACTCAGCTCTACCCAAACGCACACAGACCAAGAGAACTGGAATTCGGAGATTCCTACCAAATATCTCCTGCACTTGCTGCCTTTACCTGCCTTCCAAAGTCATCTGAGCAAGATCTTAAGAGCTTTTGAATGGGGTCATAACTCAACTATAACTGCTATCTCAAGTGCAAATCGCGCACTGATGAACAGTTCTTCCCTACGAAAGCTCAGTATGAGCTGTTCTATTTATTAAAGAATTGCAGTGAAAGGGATAATCTCTCTTCCCTTATAATTGCTTCCTATTGGAGCAGATGTTGCCTGGGTGGGTACAGCCACGTAGGTGTTACAAAGATTTATAAACAGCTTTTTCCAATCTAGACGGCAACTATGACTTTATTCTATTTACAACAGAAACCCAGGTTACAGTTCAAATAATAGAGTTTATTTTTTTATTCCTTTCTCAAACTTATGTTTAAATAGCAGCGTCCAACATTAAGTCAGTTGGTCAGGCCATGTCACTTGAAGGTACTATCTCAAACTCCTTATTGCCCAACATTATTCTGAAGAGGTACTTGAAAATCATTATGGTGTTCTCAGGGCAAATATAAACACAGGTAAAGCTATAATACTATTGAACTGAATCAATTCTTTTCTTGGAGTTTCTTACAAGTATGTACAACAGAATTTTGAACCCCAGATCATGGAGTCGAAAAGTCAGCATACCAGAAATAATTTACTGAATAATTATAGGAATACATTTAAAAAAACGGATCAAAGATGGTTGACTTAAAATTCACTAGCTATCTTTATCAAAAAATAGAGCAAAGAAACTAACATTGTCAATTAGAGTAGGAATTGCTAAAGATTCTTCCCTAAGTTTAAATGTTCTATAAGCTGAAAAACAGCATGTTCCTCTGGGGCTGGCCGGTAGTATAGTGGCTAAGTTTGCATGCTTCACTTCGGCAGCCTGGGGTTCACTGGTTTGGATCCCAGGTGCAGACCTATGCATCGCTCATCAAGCCATGCTGTGGTTGCGTCCCACATATAAAACAGAGGAAGATGGACACAAATGATAGCTCAGGGCCAATTTTCCTCAGCAAAAAGAGGAGGATTGGTGGTGGATGTTAGCTCAGGGCTAATCATCTTCTTCTTCGTAAAAAAGAACATGTTTCTCTAAGGAAAGAGAATGTTTATGCCTCATAGTAACCTGCCTTGGAATGTGAGAACTGTTTTTAGATTTCCTACTATGTGCATGATGCTGTATTAATGCCTGGATGTGCAGTGCTGAATCACTATGTTCCTATCTTCTTGGAGCTTATGTTCCAGTGGAGAAGAAATAAAATAAACAGCTAATTATAAAATTTATTACTTTAATTATAACTGTGGAAAGTACAGGAAGCTATGAGAACATATAAGGAGGTGGGATCAGTCCTGTGCAGGTCAGGAAGGTTTTGCTGCAGAAATGACTCCTACAGGGATGGAAAGAGAAGAGCATTCTTTGGAGGAAGAATAGAACGGTCAAGGCCTTGCAGTGGGAAGGGGGATTAGAGGAACTTAAATAAAGTTGGTTTGGCTAAAATGCAGAGGAAAAAAGGATAATAAAATATGCGTAAATTCTCAGAAAAGTTGGCTTCTAAATCTGGCATGAACTGGAATCACAAAATATTTTGACACTTGATAATATAATTTCTCTGGAAGTATCACTGAATTCTAAGCTACATTTTAAAATATGGCCATATCATAGTTTCAAGTCTTTTCAAAACTAAGAATTAAGATAGCCTAAGCACTAACTGGGGGCAAAATGGCTAACTGCTCCATTTTATGACAGCGTGGACCAATGTTTCAGTTTGGTGGCACGTGCAGTTTTCATTTTTAAATAACAACTTTTGAATAGGGTTAAGCAAAGGACAAGTTTGGTTTTGGTTTCAAAGGCTTTGCAGGTACAACAACCACTATATGTAGCTGTGATGTACACGCCTGAAACACATTAGTAGGAAAGCATTTTGGATTATCCCCATAAGAGATGAAAACATCTACTTGATTTGAGTCTGGCTGGTTGCTTACCCTGGACCATCTTCATGAGTAACTTGCCTGTTGTTTTCAAAAGACGAGTCTTTTATAATGAAAAATAAAGTACATTTGCGTATTCCTCCTGATGACAAAGAGGAAGCTTCAATTAAAAATATTTGATGTTGCTAGACTTTGGGTGGTAAACACGAGGTAGTCTATACAGAAGGCAAAATATAACGTTGTACACCTGAAATTTATATAATGTTATAAACCAATGTGACCTCAATAAAAAAATAATAATAAAATAAAAGCAGGTAACGCCCTGGAAAAAAAAATTTGATGTTCAAAATCAGAAAAAAAATCGGCCTTGAAAGTGCACTTTTCCTTTCTAAATTTGGCAATATAATAAAAATGAAGAGTTTGAGCTGAGCAACATTGTCATCTCCATGGGGTCTGTAATGAATTTGCACATTTTACTCCAACTACTGTATATCTAATCAGAAAAAGATGTCCCCCACCCCCTGATCTAGCGCCAAACGGTAAAAGGTGATTCCTTATGTTAACAATTTCAGCAGAATGGCTTATTAAAACCAGATTTTAGGGTATTATAAAATGCTTAGAAGCCCTTTAAAATGTCAACTAGGATCCCCAGAGACTACATAAAATGTCAACCCAGCTCAAGCGCCTGTTTTAAGCAGAATGAATTAGCGGCATGCTGTCGAAGGCTGTTATCCAAAACAATCAGTAAAGAGGAAAACATCAAGCTTTCTTTGTACTTTTATATGAAATGGGCCATTTAGAACGATCTTGTGGATATTTGAAGATCACTCATCTATTTGAAGCTATGACTAAATACTGAAGTCCCAAACACACCTCAGTGGGTTTATGTTCCTGCTATATCTTTAATTAATACAAAGGTCTGAAATTAGACAGCACTCTCTTTAATGTAGCCTATTAGGGTATAATCATATGGTCATTCTAATATTCTCGCCTCCAAACCAGAAAGAAATTCTTTTTAGCTAGCTATCTCTTTCCCATAAAGACTTTTGCTACATTTCCTAAGATACTTCACATCACCAAAACTGATTTTCTCTTATACTTAGGATAAAGTTTTAACCAGTGATTATCACTTTTTAGTATTCAGACACAGGAATTGAATGATATAAAGACAATTCAAACAATCTTAGTATTTAGTTTATTTTGACATTTTGGGATTTCTAATTTGGGAATAACTGACATATTAAAATATGAAATATGCTTATATTAAGTATTTTATTCTTTTCTAGAGTTTTTCTAAATGAAACAGGTATGATTTTTTTAAAGAACGGGAAATTTCACATGGAAGGTAGAATATAGTCATAAAAAGGGAAAAATAGATCAGAGATGGTAGAGATGCAAAAAATATGCATTTTTTTGATCAGTTCCAATTTTGGTTTGCATGGATATATACTTTTATACATAAGTATTCACATTTTCTATGTATACCTAAAGCTTCACATGCTCATATGTTTTGACATAACATTCATCTAAAGATCTCAAAATCATTTAGATGAAAATTGAGACACAAGTTTAAGTGGTTAATGGTTTTTGTTTGTTTGGTTTGTTCTCATTACAATGCATGCTATCAACTGGGTGGCATCTCTTACCATTGTTGAGAATGGGGCATCGTAAAAACGCACGTATACGTTTAGTAACTACTTTTAGACGATCGGTTCCTTAACGGAAAGAATCAAAAGGGACACTATCTACATTAACTACATGTTATTCCAAGTGCATTATGGATTTTAATAAAGCTTTAATAACTCAAATTTTGGTACTTATTCATTAAGGCTACAATTTGCTGACAGAGTTATGTGTTCATATTCTATCTTTATCGTTTAGTTCTTAGAAGTCAGAGAATAAAAAATCAGAATCTGCTTAAGTTGTCCAGTACCTGGCCACCATTCTAAGTGAAGATGAAGATGATGATGATGATGTCAAGAGGATAGCACAAAAGAAATGGAATCTTCTGTTCCTTTTTTCTGGGACTTAAATTTGTCTATAACAGGTCTCTTCATAATCAGCAGCTTCCCTCTCACTCATCTTTTCTGTGTGCTTCAGTGTCTACATATGTAGGGTAAATATGTACTTTATCTGTTAAGCTGAAAGCTGCCATGACAGGAAAAATCCCTTTTTAAATGATACTGAAAATATGCCTAAGGTTACTAAAAGTATAAATTAAAAAATGCACACTCTACATCTTTTTGTGTCCTGATGATCTAAAGTGACCTTAGGTTACAGCATTTAGAGCAAACATTATCTCCAGTCCCACCCTAACTCCACGATGGCATGACTTCTATAGTTTGCAAAGGAAAAGAATAAACACAGTTAATGCCACTATCAAGTGGCTCATCTGAAAGCAACTTTTTTCCTAGACTTAGTACAAATATTTCTAGATTTTTAAAGAAGAGAAAATATTACAACAATTAGTACAGAGACACACAATTAAATTCGCTACAGAAATTGGACACATTTCTTGACGAGCATGGAACGCTTCATCATCAGAAGAAAAGGCTCCATGATGACACATATCACGTTATGTTAAGCAGATAACATGAGCTGCCTGGCCTCCAAACCTAGTTGCTCCCAACAACTGCAGAAAACAGAACTATAGATTTATTCCATACATCACTTAACCCTTAAGGCTTTTCTTACCCAATATCTTGCTGATGTTGGAGTTGTGCATGTCAGGGAAGGCTTGAAGGATTTTCCTTCGTTCATCTTTAGCCCACACCATGAAGGCATTCATGGGACGCTTTATGTGGGGCTCATTGCTCCCACGTCCCCTGGATTCTCTATAAATTCTTGATTCGGAGACTCCAGCACTTCCTAAAAATAGGGAACATTGCTTCACGTTAGTGTTAAAACTTCTGGCAATTCTCTTCCTTGCACTACTGTTTTTCAGTCTACTAAAGTAACTGAAAATAAAAAGTACATTTGATAATGGTACTTCCAGTTCTTGAGACAGATGCTTGTTTATGAAGTTCTTGTGATAAGCCTTGTGGTGGCAAATGTTGCATTTTTGTTTTTAATCCATTTCTAACATATTTTCCCTTTCTTTGAATGGACTGTGGACTGTTTCACCACTTACTTTCAAGAGCACACAAGAAACTTGAACATGTGATCTTTGATGCAAATTGGAAAGAGAATAGTGGGCTTAGATCAATCGGCCTGCTGGTACTGTAGAAATATTAGACAGGTAAGAAGCTCACAAAATTGTGAAACACTAATACATTCAGCAGCATGGATGACTACAGGTAAGGATGTGTCTCTGCTACCTAATGCCCTTTTCCTCTCTCTGAGGCTATATAAATAAAAATGCTGCTAGATAAAATTTTGAAGTTAAAATACAATATACTTCTTCTCCTGTAATGTGTTTGGCTTTTCTTTGAACTTATGTGCTAAGAAACGAATGAAATATGCCGATGCAGCAACAATAGTCTGCTCCCCAAAGATATTTGAAAATGGTCGGGAAAAGAACAAAAGAATAGTAACATTACTATGTTTGTTAAGAAGTCTACAGCCATGTATTTAAGGTGGAAAAAATAATATATTCGCTCCCCTGAACTTTCCCCCTAACATCTATGCTACCCAGAGACCCATTGAAAGTTACATTCCAGTTAGCGAGACTCATGATAATAAAACACAACCAAGAGCCACAGTGGAACTTTTGGGAGCTGCAGTCACTCCTCTAGGCTTTATGTGGCTTTATAGAACAGCTTCAGCAGATTAAACAGCTTCCAGAGATACTTGAGTTTAGGCAAAGAAAATAAGGAGAAATAGAAGAAAACACAGAACTCTGGTAGTAAGTTTTAGAGGGTTACTGTTACAAAAAATGGAAAAGATGTATTTCGGTAGCATATACAATTTTAGAATAATTTGGAGATTTCTAGAGCTTGTATTATTACTAAAAGCACTACGTTTTTCCCCCTTCCTTCATACTCTTCCTTTCTTTTCTTAATTTGAAGGAACAGGAATCAATCAAAATTGCTCAAACTCGAAGACCTCTCCAGCAGCAAACAAAAAACACCGGATATATGTTGGTAGAGTTTCTCATTATTTTTCATTCATAATATGTTCTTTGGTCTGATGAATACTGGGAAATATTTTGCATACAAGCCTGACTGAATTTAACAAATAACAGCAACAAAATTTTGATGTTTTAATGCTGATTACCATGGGTATATTTTATCATGCGAATACAACTTAAAATTTATGAAATGTGTTATTACCAGTAACTGTCTTTTTATTGACAAAAATGAGTGCTAATATGTGGCGACATCTTTGTAAAACGGGTTTGTAACTAGCAAATGATCATTTGCACATCTGCCTTTTCTCGTTCTTACACCTTACAGCAACATAAGCAATAAAATGAACATTACATGACTTCATCAAAGCTAAACAAGCTCTTTTTATGTACTAAGGCCAGGTTTATTTTAGCCAAGCAAAGCAGAAAATAGAAGGAAACGTTTGGATAGAACAGGCCAGAAAAACGCAGGCTTTTCTTGGATACCCAATTGAATCAAATTCAGTTTTGACAAAATTATCTGGTTAAATGCACATTTGGCTAGTCTATTGGCTATTATAGAACTAGACTTAAACGTCGAATCAATGGCCCAAGGCAGAGTACATAACTGTGTATTTTGGGGGATTCCTGGGAACCCTTTCTTTCCTAAAATATGCTTCTCACTGGCTTGCCCTGGTGCAGTCTTTTCTATAGGCAGGGAACTTCCTCTGCAATAGTGACAAATTGGAGGACAGTACTCTTAAAATGCATTTATGTCACCTGACACTGGAGAGGGGTTCCCAGCTGGGGCTCAGTGTAAGAGGAATACCACTTTCTTCCTTTTCCCTCTTTGCTGTGCTATTAAGAGCACCAATTTAATTAGTTGTCACTGTGGCTGTTCAGAATATTGAGAAATGATGCAGACAACAGAAGTCTCCAGGCACGTGAGGAAAGCAAGGGGGTGTGCAGCTGGGGTTCTAGCTGTGTTACAGAGGGTAGGTAGGGCACTTGGCTGTATAGTAGATAGTATAAAAGGGAAGGGTTTCAAAATGCAAGAAACAATCCTGAAAATGTGCTCTGCACAATGTATTCTGGTCAGGGTTTGACAAATGAAAACTTAAAAATGAGTTTATCTAAGGACAAGTTTCTGCAAAGTTTGTTTCGGGCGTAAGAAACAGGGAAGTAAGAGAGAATGTAGATGGCGATTGAGAGCATCTGCTTAGAATCACGCCATCTTGAACCCTAGACCTGTCTCTAGCACTTACAGCCCTATAAGCCTTGGAAAAAAGGATTCAAAATTCCTAAGGGCCAATCTCTTTATCTGTAATAGTACTTATCTCACAGTTGTGGTGGGGATTAATGAGATGATTTCCGCAAAGTACTCAGCAGAGAGTTTGGCAACTGGGAACTGCTCAGTACATGTAAGCTCCTATTCTAACCATCAGGTACAAGGTGGCAGTCTTGTATATTTTTCAGTAGTTTTAATTGGCACTAAATAGACACTTTGGCACACTATTGAAATATAGATGAACAATTGTCACAAACCATCAGAATCTCCACTCATATTGAAATCCATCATGGCATGGCTAAATTTTCCTTCTTCATTCTGTTTAACCGCCAGTTGCTGAGTCAGACTCTCCAGTGTTGTTTTTTCCTTAGAAAAAAGAAATTTATAATGAGAGTTCAATCTGGAAATTATAATTATTCAAAGACATTTTTTCTTGGGCCATATATAATACATTAGCTTCTGGAAGGGATGGGATGTTGACATATACACTTTTGCACTTTCGGCACATTAGGCAGAGATAATTGAAGCAAACGATCAGCAGGATTTTTGAAGGAATTCCGATTCCTAGCATTTCCTGCACAGTCTTGGCGTTTGGGTTTGGTATGCCTAAAGGATATACACTGGGATCCTTGGAGACAACCTCCCCAAATAACAAAATGTGCACAGAAATTTCATGGAAACAACCTGTTTTACAACATTTGGAATGCCTGTTTTATTTTTAGCCAGACAGTGGAAGTATAGAAGTGGCATGGGGCCCAGAGAAAGTCTTCCAATAGTCAGGTGACCAAATGATAGAAACATAATTCACAGTAGTGCCCTCTGGTTGCCATCTCCCTAAATGCCATCTGCATTCCTCATGCAAGGGTAATGAAGATGTTTAAATATTCATTGCTAATTGCTTGTCAAGTCTCTGTACATTCAATGTGAGTGCCTGCTACTTGGACCACAATTTGATTTGGATTGCTAAGCCAAAATATTGAGTTGGCGAATTATTTGAGATACAAATATACCGAAATTAGATCTGCAAAGACATCAAGTCATTTAAAAGCATGCAGTGCATTGATTTGAATTCGTGGAGAACATGGCACCACAAACCAAATTATTTTCAAGGAAAATATAATGCTTAATATAAACTACATGCGACATTAAACTGCTCCCAAATTAAGTAATTGGGTGATTTTAAGAACAGTAACAGCGTACAATGAAAGGTTTACAACTTTTTCTAGCACTCTCCATCATTGCTCTGAGGATGATGTGGTTCCAAAACAGTTTTAAGAAAAGCCTCTATTGGATTTCATAAAATTTGCTCATGTTTCTTTATAGTTATTCACCTCATTTTCTGAGGAACATAGCCATGAGTTGCACAAGTGAACCACATACACTGCGGAACAGCTATTGACACAGTAAAATGTTCACGGAAAATAATCAACTATTTAAGATAATTGTATTACAGGTAAAGGGCCCAACTAATGTTCCCACCAAGAGCCAACAGAGTAATTGAAATTCTTAATACACTACATGCTTTATCTCTGCAAAGTCTCCAACGCTATTGCAATTGTACATACTAGATAAAAAATTCTCTTCATTTAGTGGCCTTGGAATTCCTGTTCTCTAGTCATCAAATTCTGCACATAATTTAATAGAGATAAAAATGTTTTTAATTGTCAATCTGTGTAAAATACAGTAGGAAAACTGGAAATAAGACAGTTATATCAACTTTAGTTTTTACAGGATTATATAATACTAAAGTTGACGAACTATATTTTTAAAAATGTAGAAACTGACCCAATTTGTTTTGTGAGTGAAATTGGTATTTTCAGCTGCTTTTTATGTTCTGGGTTTCTTTTGCTGAGAGAGTATGCAGTATATATTCAGCTAAGCTCAGGAGCACCAAAGACACCAGCTTAACAGACTCTTTAGAGTAAATGTAGCTGTTAAAATAGAAGACAGTTATATTAAAAGACCACATTCCATCAACATGATCTGATAGTCCCGGAGTCAATGAAGACTTTCCTGTACTATCTTTGGGGAGTATACTGGGCATGGATCGCCTCTCAGGTTTTGATTTAACAGTGTATAAGGCAATAATGCTACATATTTTCTACAGAATTTTCCATTCTGAAGTAAAGTCTTTCAAGAAGAAAAAGCAAAATGAAGGCAATCAGAGTAGAAAAAGAGTGAAATGCAAAGTGACTTCTAAGGCTCTGAATTCAGCTGTACAGATCTTGTGCCATCTTACCAAGAGGCTAAAATTAGCAAATGATGAGCAGGAAAGTCACAATCTGTTTTTACAGTAAGTAACCTCTAATCATCTGTCTCTAAAGCACATAGTATAATAAAAGGACTCAAGTAGTTGCCCAAAAGTGGAATTTACAATATTTCTCAAGAGGACGTCAGTGGTAGAAAGCAGAAGTCAACATGGTAAGCTGGATTTTCTTTGTGACCCTTTGCATAGTTACTTAAGCTAATTCTCAGACATGTGAACAGGCAAAGTGAGAGAAGAGAGAAAATGAGAAAAAGTGATTGGAGGAATTGGAGAACATGTGGAGTGCCTTTAATTAAAACACTTTACAATAGTATGTATATCAAAATGGTAACATTGCCATAATTTAGAAACCCTCACTGACAATAAGTTCAGAAGACATAAAGGAACTGAGGTAAGGAGGATATAATAAAACCAAGTGGTTATATGGTAAATATATGGTATATAAAAATATAGCAGTTGTATGGCAAATAATTACCATATAATTCCATATGAAAATTGATCCTGTAGTAAATGTTTATATTTAGTTCTTATGTATAGAGGTAGATATAAATCCATATGTGGATAGGAATCTAGATAATATACTGAACCACAAAAAGAACGAGTTGATTTAAGAATAGTTTTCAAAAGGTTAAATTAAATCTTCTCAGGCATATAGGAGGAGAAAGAATCAGCTAAATGCTATAAAGCACAAAGGCTGGTACACTGGGAAGATTCCTCTCATCCTACTCTTTCCAATCCTACCCATCCTGGCCATTCCCTTCCCAAAGAGTTCACCCATGTATTATCATGTCAAGAATTCAACCATTTGAGATTCTGTTTCTTGGGTTAAATATTTCCCTTTCCAAAAGCCCTTTTGCAAATGTGCAAAAATTACTGGAAAAGGTAATATTTTGATTGTCAAAGTTCTTTTAATTGAATTAATCCTTTCTAAATAGAGTCAGCTGGAACAAAATGAGGGCAGTAGATATCAGGTAGGAAGGAGGTAATTGGGAAGATGCTGAACATAGGAGACACTGAAGAAACCGAGTACAAGGAAACAGAAAAAAATGTTGATGGGCACAGGTGACAATTTTTACCAAACTTCTACTCTTAGTTCGAACTGGCTCCAGTAAAAATCACAGTAGTCAAGAATTTGTACAGAAAAAGCGTACCCCATACCCCCACTTTAAGATTAGTGTTCTTGAACAGAAATCAAAAGTATAACACTAATACTTTACTGCCCTCTCAATACTGTCCAAATGCTGATCTAAAACTGACAAGATTCATTGGTCTTCTCTCTTATACATTTTTCTATTAGAAATGAAACAAAAATCAAAGAAAAATAAACACATTTTTAAAGAAATACTTGCAAAAATTCTGAAGTGCTCTGAGTAATCTCAGAGTAGAGGGTGCAAACAGATTACTTAATACAAAGTAGTCAAAATGAAATAGTCTTGAGGATTTATAAATAAGGACCAAACAAGATGACCTGTATGCTCTCTCTCCTGAATAAAAACTAATAATTGAGTAACAACTAGATTTCTTTTGGAAAGATGGTTCTTATCTGGCTAATCAAATAGTATACAACTCTGTAGGTTTACTAAGATCAAGGGGAAACATTAAGTAAAGTCTATTTTTTACTTGAAAAAATGTTCTGACCCAATGTTGACTTGGACAAAGATCCAAGTGAATCGTATCTACAGAAGAGAAAACTGTTTCAGACCATACAGTTTCTTGGGGTCAAACGAATAACTCTAAAACTGAACATTCAAAGAACTATTATTAATGTGTTAATATTCACTCAGGGAATTTGGCAGCTGGTCTTGGACTCTGTGGCTTATCCAATGACTTGCATAATGGAAAACAGCACGTATATTGCTTGCACATGACACCAGGCAATGGTGGGAATCAAGGCGAGCCAAAAAATATCTAAAGAAATGTGGGCAAAGAGTTGATTAGAAGTGGTCAGTAAAGATCTGTACTTTCTAAGCCAACAACATTCTGGATGGCAAAACACCACAGGAGTTAACGGGAGGAGGTCATATTTGAAGTTAGGAAATAATAGGTCTTGGGATTAGGAACATCGTCTCTTAACCGACTCTGCCATATATGTTAGCCATATTACTTTAGACAAGTCAATTAACCTCTCTGGGTCCCAGAATCTTAATTTGTAAAATGGGGTTTAAACAGATGATAGATTCTCGTTAGTTTAAAAAAATTAAGAAAGATATGCTTTTAATATTAGGGGAAAAAGTCAATGGGGGAAATAGAAAAGCTAGCAATTCTTCCTAACATATAAGATTTACAGAAAGAGTTCAATATGAGTACTAAATACCCTGCCATGGTTACGATTCTCTATTCTCTACGGCCATAGTAATGGACAAATATGCATTAAAAAGGAGAATGTTGGTAACAACTGCAAAAATTGTTGTGATTTTTTTTCTTTCCTGTTGTGCATCATTTACAACAGTGTATTTGACCTTTTTAATTTTCCATCTGAGGCTCAGGCAAGATGGTTTACAGCTCCTTAATGTAATTCTAGTACATATTTAAACTAAAAGTTTCTCCTATTCCATTACTTCAGTTTATACATAAAATAACTAAAAATTCACTGTTTGTAAAGGCTCCAATGTACATCTTCTGTTGACATTTCATAAGCCAATCAAAACAAAAAACCACACAAACTGGACTTTAGGGGGAGGAGATATTTCTTCAGCTACCTCAGCCTAAATTAAACAGTGCATGATCCTGTCTTAGCCCTTGAAATTGGGATTTGTGTAAGTGCTAAGATTTGCTTCCTACCAGACACACATACACAAAGAGAGAGATGGGCTGTGGATCAGCTATCATAATGGACATCCCTGAAATAAAGCTCACAAAGCTATAAAACTCATAAAAAGCACATGCATGAAATGACAGAATAGAGTGTGATTGTCAAATGTTGACTCAGTAACAGTTAAACCCCTTCTGGCTGCACTTTTTTATGGTCTCCTTCTATACTAATGACACGGGAAGAAGAAAGAAACAAAAAAGGTTTTTAACCCTCTAATTATGTGAAACTCACAGACCACCAAAGAAGATGAAAGATTATTTATAACGTCATAACGATTTATCAGTTGGA